AGACGATATGTCCTTCATTTCGAGCAATAGCCAAGTTCTCTAGGAAAACAGACCGGCAGTTTGATTACATTTACTCGCTCTCAGGATACGTTCTACTCAGGCATTTCAAGCACCGCAAGACGGAAAAAAAAAAAACAAGACTGAGCTATCTCATCCGCTCCAAGTTTTAACAAACTATGTGTTTTGTGTATGTGTGTGTGCACTTAACAGCACAATTTTCTCATTTAGCACACTTGAGCCACACTGCATGTTTGTCTCGAGCTGGTATCATTTACTACAGGTTTATTCAACTGCCGGCTCGCGGGCAGTATCTGGACCGCAGAGGTCTAGCAAGTGGCCCAAGGATCTTTGCCAGTTGTAACGTGTTAATGATCATCCTACTCTAAGAGCTCCAGCATCTGGCTCGTGACAATCCCCATTTTCAACATTTTGGCCCCTGGGTAAACATAGCCGAATATCCCTGATACTCGATATGTTCACGCATACATGAAAATTAGTAATCGATGCCATCCACGAGGATTCTCTCACATACCTCATATTTAATCGTTGTCCTTATTTCTAAATGATGACATTACCAACAAAGAGAAAACGGATTACCACGCAAGTATTGAAAAAGTAATAACAGGAGTACAACTACTACTTACGACTAAACTCAGAGCTGCGATAAACAACTGGTCTTTCCCGCTGAGTGAGCTACCATCCCGTTGGGTTTGGGGTGGGGGGGGTGTTGTTGTGCAGTGCAGGTGGTACTAACCAATCGGTCAAATTGGTGGGATGGTAAGAGCCTCAAGTGCAGTGAGGGACAATGACTAAACATATGGCAGTGGTTGAAAGAAACATGGTGTATACAAAGTCAGAGAATACAATTGGCTTTCACTGTACCAGCAATTAAATCTAATATTTAATAAAATAATTAGTACATGTTGAAAGAATGTCAGATGACAGAGAAGTAAAAACTGTATACACCAGGGAGAGGGATGGTTGTAGACCACGCGGCAGACCAAGAAGATGATGGAGAGATAATATCCAGACAGACCTGCAAACACTTGGTGTTACAACTGGAAAGAGAATGTCCAGACAGACCTGCAAACACTTGGTGTTACCAACTGGAAAGAGAAGGTCCAAACAGACCTGCAAACACTTGGTGTTACCAACTATAAAGAGAAGGTCCAGACAGACCTGCAAACACTTGCTGTTACCAACTGGAAAGAGAAGGACAACCAGAGAGATGAATGGAGGCGGGTGCTATCTGCAGCAGTGAACCTCAAGAGCTCGGAATGCTGAAAAAGGAGAGGAAGATATAATAAAAATGTAATGTTCTATGAGTGGCGATCATTAGAGTATATTAGACAGTCTGTTTCACTTGGTGACAAACCAATAGATAAAAAAAAATATTTTAAAATTTGACAAATTTGATTGTTAACGTATAATTGCGTCTCAGACGTGGAAAAAAAAACATTAATAAAATTAATTTAAAAAAAAAATAGTGAGTTCCTAAGTCACAGATAGGGCTTCAACCGTGTATATGAAAAGGTTTTTGTGTCCTAGTTAAGTTAATTGCGTATCCTTTACAGGGCGTTGCAGAACCAACCCCAGCATTTTTTGGCTGTTGTGGTTTTTCAAGGCAAGTTTACGTCCAGTAGTTTGCCATTGCTTTCTGGACGGTCAGCTTCTCGATAGCTCTGCCGAAACCAACGCAAGGCGCAAGGCCCGCAGCTGGGATCAAACCCAGCACCCCTGCATTACAAAACGCGTTCGTAACATCTAAGTGTGTCCTAGTACAACAATATTTTAGTCCAATAGACCTGAACAAATTCCAGCTTTGGGGGAGAAGATGTTACAGTAACAACTGTAAAATAGATTGTTTGCATAAGATAAGAAATATACAGAGAAAGTGAGGAATATCAACTATCTATAGTGTACCAATGAAGTTACGATGAGTTCCTGGGTACTGAAGAGTTAAGAAACTTTTATATAATATTCATATAATTATTAAAAAGTAGAGAGCAATAAACCATAGACATACGGATCAAAGATCAAAGTCTGAAACAAATGCAAGAATTTAAATACGTGTGAAGTATCTTTACTTATAATGGTAAAATAGACAGAGACATATAAACGAGAATTCAACAAGCCAACTATGCCACGTTACAATTTGCTCCAATTTTAAAACACCCTGCTATCCCAAGAGAGACAAAAAGACAAAATTATAAACACAATAATTATGCCGACTTTAGGTTACCAATGTCAGACTTGGACATTGACAAAAGAACACGAGAGATGACTATCCTCTTGTGGTTTGCGATATTTGAGAATGGCTGTGAATAAAACCGGAGATCGAGTGAGAAACGACGTGCTCACAACAACTGTTGGACCAATAGTAATTTTTACCATTCGGCCGAATACGAATAACGGGACCAACTATTCTGCCGAATACGAATACGAATAGTGTATAACATATATCTAAAAAAAAAAAAACACACACACACATTTATAATGTCAAATGTACGCTGAACTTGTACTTCACATAAAGCAGCACAGAAGAGTCTTTTTCTTCTATAGCATTCTGAGCCCTTGAGGTTTACTGCTGCTTTCATCTCTCTGGTTGGCCTTCTCTTTACAATTTGTGACACCAGTTGTTTGCAGATCTGGCTGGACATTATCTCTCAATCTTCTTTTTCGTCTGCCTCGTGGTCTACGCCCATTCTTCTCTCAGGTGTATACAGTTTTACTTCTCTGTCTTCTGACATTCTTTCAATATGCCCCAACCATTTTAGCCTGTTAGCTCTCATGATGCCAGTGATCAATGGTGATTTAAACAGCATGTGTTACATTGTTGCTTCTGACTCTCCATTCCCCGCTGTTAGCATCTTCGATGGGTCCAAAGATTTGTCGTAAGACTGTTTTCGAAAAAAAATGAAATAAGGCCTCATCTTTTCTATTTCTGCTTTAAGTTTTAGAGCCATATAAAACGACTGGTCTTATCAACATTTTATATATTTTGATCTTGGTGTTGCGAGACAGACACTTTGACTTTTGCAGATGTTGAATTGCATAGTGTACTTTATTTCTATATTGTATTTCTTCTCTCAGCATGTTAGAGCAGTTGAAGTTTGCACCCAAGTACATATATGTTCCGTTCGTTTGATTCTTATATTTTTGTCTTGGATGTTGCCGGAGTGTAAACTCTTTCCATGACTTGTTAGTTTTCGCACAGAAAAGTAAACATTTAAAAACATTTTATGTTTTGCGTCCTTCAGTCAGTCTGCAGTAACTAATAACTAGGAATGAAAGAATCCTAAGTATTATAACAAGTAGTTAAACTTGGAAATTGTCACTGACAGCTTAGTTAATGCATGAAAGCTGCATTAGCTTTCAACAAAACTAATCGTTCTATGTCGTCAGTATTAAAGCCGTGTATGCAGAAGCGGGTGTAAGGTAACTACTATTCGTGTTCGGCCCGACCGCAGCTATTCGGCCGCATAGTCAATAGCTCCACTATTCGGCCCCGAAGCGAATACGAAGCGAATATTCGGTACAGCCCTAAATGAAACCAACGATGCCAGCAGCAAGAACGTACAACCTAAAAATCAAAACATCCAGAGGCAGAGGAAACCCGAGAAAAATATGGATGGAAAAAGTCACTGACACCTTGAGACTGCCCAACATCATGGTAGATCAAGCGACCGAGCGCGCCCTGGCTCGGCTGCCGATCGTCTGATGAACTGCGACGCCTAGCGGCGTAAGCAGATATCGACAAATGAAGAAGATATTAAAATTACTGCACGTTAAGTAAAAATACAATTGTAACCTATCGTTTAGCGGACACAAGGGGTATTCTTCTTAAAAAATTCACCAAAATATTGTAATCCACCACTAATATAAGCGTGGGTCCCTTCACTAACACTAAATTTTGAGCTAAACATAATCTGAGGTGTATGCCGCGATCTGTACACATTTGATGATGTTATATACATATACTATGCAACTTTGTGTATATTACTGTTAATGCACAGTGCTTTTCTACGTCTAGATATAACATTTCAAACGTTTGATGTGAAGAGAATATATGTAATTTGTCGTGTCAATTAAACTACGTGATTATTTAAAAAGAAAGCTTTTAATGCAGTAATTATCAAATGCTTTTTTTTTTTTAATTTAAAAAAAAAAATTTTTTTTTTTTTTTTTAAAGTTTTAATAGCATATTTTTCCTTCTTGGTTATTTTCATATTTTGTTTTCCAAATATGTTGTTTCCCCCTTCCTGTTGTCTTTGATAATGAGGAGAAATTGCTTAGTGATGTGTATTACTAAACTGAAACAGAGAGAGAGAGAGAGAGAGAGAGAGAGAGAGAGAGAGAGAGAGAGAGAGGGAGAGAGAGACAGAGAGAGACAGAGAGAGACAGAGAGAGAGAGAGAGAGATGGAGGCAGAGACAGAGATAGATAGAGAGATTACGAGTTGCAGTGGCCTACATTGAGCCATTTCAAATACTCAGCACTCCATGCAAATCTTGTAAGAAAATCAACATAGTTTATAATTTGCCGCCCAAATTGTGTTCCTACGGAGTAAATTTAGTACGTTGATGATGTTCATTGTGTAGCTTATTACTCATGAAAATGCTGGTTATAAGCAAACAACGAACCATCTCTTTATGTTTTACAAAACTGTAAATATTAGGCAGGCTATGTTCTTCTGGGAAGTTGCCGTGCTGAAGCGGATACACGCTCGCTTGGGATCGGAAAGTCGTGGGTTCGCTCTCTGGCGGAGCCGGAATTTTTTTTCCAAAATGGCCTTGGCTCCCAGGTCCACCCAGCCTTGAGTGGGTACTGGGTAAAGTCCCGGAAAGTGAAGGCGGCTGGCGTGATGCTGACCACATCACCAAACTTGTGCCGATTGGTCCATACAAATATAATTCTTGCCCTATATGCCCTACTCGCCTAAAGGCGTGGAAAAGGGTCCTTTACTTTTGTTGTTGTTGTGTATCTTCTCTTACGCTACAGTTAATGCCAGCTGGCTGTCTGGATTCAGACTGTTTGTATACAATGAGGCAGGCAGACTCTTTATCCAATATGGAGACAGGGGGGCTTCCCCGTTATCAGTGTACGAACTGTTGCTACCACTACACGACACATTCCAAGCACTGAGAATAGAAGCTAAGCACGGTACTCGAGCGCCTCGTGTTTTAATCTTGTGTGAAGTTGAAGTATACGTAGGTGAGTGGGCTTTGTCTGTCGAAATTGTTATCAGTATTTGTACATGTTGGGTGTTGAATTAATAATCACACCACAGCACTCGGGGCACTTCGAAGAGTGATCCGTCTCCATCTTCAGCAGCAAGCGAAGAGTTATAATCACGATATCACAAGTAACTGAGATTGCATATCTGTTTCCTTCGATTGTTGATCGTCGACCACACTTCCTCGCAGCGTCATTCTACTCAGACCGTAATGATCTGTTTGTGCCTCTGCATTGTTAACTCTCTCCTAAAGGACTCTTACAACATCTAAGCATCTCATACGTCAATTAACCGCCAGGTGGAACAGAACCAGCTAGACTATCTTCTGTTCGTTTTTCAGCACACCGGCATTTCTTGAAGACGTTTACCAAAGGACGCTCACTGCCCAGGACCTCTCAGGCGATGCATTTCACTCTACATGGAGCATACATGCTGCATACATGCAGCAAGGCATACATTGGAGAGACTGGCAGGAAGCTAGCTGATCGTTTCCGGGAACACCTCTCCGATATCGACAAGAAGACACTCAAACCAATCCCTCTTCATTTTAATAGCCCTGACCACAGCGGTAAAGATGACATATCTGTCACAGCATTAAAATCTTGCTCTGGCGATCATACTACCCGCCTCGCTTTGGAAAATCGCCTTATCCACAGCCTTGGCGTTCTTAGTCCAAGAGGTATCAATATCCAACATACCTTCATCTAAATAGTTCTAATCTTATCACATTTTAAATGTTAATTTTTTTATTTTATTTCATATTATTACCTTATTCTATTTCTTATCAGTATCATTTATGTATCATTACCACTTGCATTTCTTTTATTCCCAGTATTGTGACTATATTTTTTAGCCATCGTTTATTTTATTTTATTTCATTTTTTCCGCATCACATTTTTTTAAAGCGCTCACGTCACCCCTTAGAGATCTACATACTCTCCATTCCTCGTTTGTGTCTTTCACTTGTGTTTGAAAAAGGCTGCCCAGCCGAAACGTTACGTTTTGTTGTTTTGTGCACGTTTTCCTCTTTCCCATTTTGTTGAGCTTTTTAGTCAAATTTCTCTGGAATTCATTCTACATGGAGCATACTTGTCGGCACCTTTCTCAGCATGCTTTGTGAGTCCGTTACAGTTTGTGTATGATGCTGAGCCTTGTAGAATTTATGTGTTGTCAACTTCCAATAATTTCATACTATTGTATTATACCTTACCACTAGGAGACATGCAAGACACGGCAAATGAAGGCAGAGAGTATGACTACCAAAACTATTAAGGGTAAAGAAATGCCATAGAAAATAATTAAGGGTAAAGAAATGCCATAGAAAATAAGTGCATGGGATTTTAGAACTACTGTTGTCATTGAACAACATATGTGTCTAAGCTCCCTTCCCATGTTGGATGCGCTGTGATCCATGGATATCATTTGGAATTATTTTCGGCTATACCCAGCTGGCTTTTAGATGTGAACTACACTTTCAGAAATAACGAGGAGCTGGTTGCTAGAGTCGGCTCTCTGGCTAAGTCGATGCGAACGCTTCGTAATGCCGGGATACCAGGTTTGATTCTAGCTGCGGGCCATGCACCTTGCGCTGGTTTCGTCAGTGGTATCAAGAAAGCCGACTGTTCAGTGGCAATGGCAAACTACTGGACGTAAATATGCCTAGAAAAACTACACAACAGCCAGGGGATGTTCCATTATTAAGCCGAAGCTAAATTTTCTGTAGATTACCATAAATACGTTCCTGTTTATAGAGATGTAGTCGTGTATCTATAATGAGTATATGTGTTTTTTAAAATCAAGTATTAACATCAAAACACCCAAGACGTTCCCATAAGCGCTCCGTCCCCATCTTAAAAAGCAATCGCAGGTTTGATTTCCGATTGTATCAGTAAGAGTCTGAAAATATGTATAGACATATTTAGAGCATTTACAAGGATGTTTCGTGCTCTGCATCTGCTAGGTAATCAAACAGATAACACAACACATTCCATTGTCTGTTTCATAGAAGCGGCATGTCAGTGGCATACGTACGGGCTGGAGTGTGAACATCAGTGTCATTGCAGTGGAAGTCAGAGATGTAGTATGACAACCGGCACTTGTGAGTTCACGCCAGACTATTACTGTCCTCCAGGCACACATGGAGATGCATGCGAACTGTCGTGTCCTGACAACTGCCAGAATAAGGATTGTGATGCACGTTCTGGGGCCTGTCTTCGGTGCGTCTCGGGCTACATGGGAGACTTCTGCGACCAAGGTAAGAGTGATGTACCTATAAAGAAACATGGGATGTGGTTACATCGCTGACAATGATTAAATGTCCATACATCATTTAAGTAACAAGGATGGTAGGCAGAGATGTGACCAGGATACAATGTTAATGCATCTCTAATGTAACACACATTGGAGGCAGGGATCTGATCATGGTAAAGGTTCCAACATCTCTGATGTAACTTGAAGTGTAGGTAGAGATCTGACCTTGGTAAATATTCAGAAAGGTCCAATGTTTGTATGCATTTATATGTAAATTTATACATGTATATATTTACACACACACACACACATTTATGTATATAAATACACACACACACACACACACACACATATATATATATATACAATTTTTTTTACAAGTTTGTGAGCCAGGAATATTTGGACCTAACTGTAGCCGAGTGTGCTCTAAAAGGTGTGCAAAACCGTGTCATCATATCACCGGACTCTGTACTTGCCAGGAGGTGTTTGCTGGGGAACTCTGCAAAGGTTTATATTCTTTATTTAGGTGTCGTTTGTTATTGTGCTCCAACAATGTCAGTGCTAAATGTGTTTTATATATTGTATGATGTATTGAACAGAAACTTGTCCAGTGTGTGTGGTGTGTTTTTGTTGCTATCTTTTAATGTACATTTTTACTTGATATCACTAAGTTAACAAGGGCTTTGTTTGTATACAAGGATGAACTAGCCACGACAATTTATTTTAGTCTGTTTCAGAAGTCACGCCGAACTTCATTAATCTGATTTCCAAACAATCTCTCAACGCGTTTAAACTACTGTATAGTCTATTTTTAATGTTTCCGAAGTTATTAGAATCAGTTATAGAATCACCAGGACACGTGAGATCTAGGGCCACATGCAAATAGTATCACGGCAGTAGTTTTGAAAATCACTTTAGCAGGAGCACACTATCGTTAAATATTTAAATTGTTGTATTCTAGAGTGCAACAAAGGCTGGTTTAAGGAGAACTGCACTGAAGCCTGCCCAAGAACATGTCATAATCGGCTGTGTGACAACAAAACAGGAGAATGTATGTCGTGTATAGAACATTCTACGGGGTCCAGGTGTCAGGGTGTGTATGTTTAGATCAGTCGTTTTGCACAGTGCATTCAGCGTCATATTATTCTTGAAGATTGTGACAGATTGTCCTTATATGATATTTCATTGTGTAGATTATGTGTTTCGTTCTCATTATAATTCCGTCAGTATTAATGCGCGACATGCTAGTGCTAACATAAATTACTAGAAGCGTTATAACATCAGTTATCAGAATACAAAATGTTTTAAACCTGTGTATGATATTTCGGTGTGTAGTTTGACATACAAACACATTATATATACACACACATGCATATGTACATTTACATACATGAATACCTACATACATAAAAAGATACACAGATACATGCATACATACATACACATACATACGCACACACACATGCATACATACACACATGCATGCATAAACGCACGCATAAATACATACATACATACCTGCCTACCTACCTGCCTGCCTGCCTGCCTGCCTACCTACCTACCTACCTACCTACCTACCTACCTACCTACCTACCTACCTACCTACCTACCTACCTACCTACCTACATTCATACATACATACATACATACATACATACATACATACATACATACATACATACATACATACATACATACATACATACATACATACATACATACATACATACATACATACATACATACATACATACATACATACATACATACATACATACATACATACATACATACATACATACATACATACATACATACATACATACATACATACATACATACATACATACATACATACATACATACATACATACATACATACATACATACATACATACATACATACATACATACATACATACATACATACATACATACATACATACATACATACATACATACATACATACATACATACATACATACACACACACACATACAATAATGTTGCCACTGCCATATTCCAGACTGCGAACATGGTTGGTTTGGAGAGAACTGCTCTCATACTTGCCCAAGCACATGCCGCTCTAACCGGTGTAACAACATCACTGGCCAATGCTTGTCTTGTGTGGGGCGTCGGACCGGAGCCATGTGTGAGGGTAATTATGTTTCTGTCTTCTGTGGGGCGTCAGACAGGAGCCATGCGTGAGGGTAATTATGTTCTTGTCTTGTGTGGCGTCGGACAGGAGCCATATGTGAGGGTAATTATGTTCTTGTCTTGTGTGCAGTTTTGGACAGGATCCATTTGTGAGGGGAATTGTGTTCTTGTCTTGTGTGGGACTTCGGACATGAGCCATGTTTGAGGGTAAATGTGTTCTTGTATTGTGTTGGACTTTGGACAGGAGCCATGTGTGAGGGTTATTATGTTCTTGTCTTGTGTGGGACGTCGGACAGGAGCCATGTGTGAGAGTAATTATGTTCTTGTCTTGTGTCGGACGTCGGACAGGAGCCATGTGTGAGGGTAATTATGTTCTTAAAATACATTGGACAGGCAAAAAAAGCAACCAAGAGGTTTTGATAGAGGCAGGAGCCCGAAGACAACTACTTACAGACATCAGAAGGAGACAGTCATAATTTTTTTTTATCATGTTATAAGATGAGGAAAAATGGAACATGTGGCGACCACTGAAAAGATCTAAGAAAGGAGGGATAGAGGAAGACAACGAGAGAAGATTCTTGACAGTCTTGTTGCATGGCATAGAGGTGTGTTAGCACACGAACTAATACATGCTGCAGGAGATCGCAGATTGTGGCGAGGCATAATCGCCTATGCCAGTCGGCAAAGCACCTGATGATGATGATTCACTATTCGTATTCGTACTCGTATTCGGCCGAATAGTTGGTCCCAGCTATTCGTATTCGGCCGAATAGTGAAAATCACTATTCGGTACAGCCCTAGTATATATATATATATATATATATATATATATATATATATATATATATATATATATATATATTAATAAAAATGTAAATTTTCCGAGTTTGTTAAATATAGACATAGACACTACTGAACCGATTGCTTTCAATTTTTCACACAACGTTACCTTTGTCTCAAAGCATGCTTTTTTGTAATAAAATCGCACAAACCACGAACGACGTAGCTCAAGCAACGGTCAAATCATTATTTGTTCAGTTGTCGGCCCAGTTTTGTTTTTAGTTGATTGGCCACCTTCGACTGCTGAGCAGGGCTGCCAATAGATGCCTTTTCCCCCAGGATCAATCTCCAACATTTCTTTACCGATCGCTTTCAAATTTTCACACAACGTTGCCTTAGACTCCGCGCGTGTTTGTATGTGTGAGTTTTGCACAAACCACGAATGACGTAGCTCCAGCAACGATCATTTCATTAGTTGTTTTATTGCCGCCACCGATTTGTTTTTATTAGTTGGCTACCTTTGACTCTGTGTATAACACCGAACTTTTCGTTATTATATAATTTCATTTCTACTAAATGTTAGTTGTAAGCATTTTGCCTTTCACGCGAAAGGCATTCGATTCGGGGTTCCCCCCCCACCCCCCCCCCCCCCCCCCCCCCCGCGCTATTTGTTAGTATATTGTACTTTTTTTTCAATTACGTAATATTACTGTGGGTTTCACCACTGGTTAGGTGATGGAGTTTTAAGTCGGGGGCACACTTAAACTAAACAGTCCGTGGCGACAGCATGCGGCGTCCACTCCTCTGGCTGCAACGACCTGTACAAACAGTATTGACCGTTTTGTGATTTTGTTGTAACGGTGGTGGTGGTAGTGGTAGCAGTACTACTGGTACTCGATGGGTGATGTGGTAGCTGTTACCCTGGTCACATTTACTTCTCAGTACAGATTAATGCTACTAATTTTAGTCTGGGTGGACACGGATGCCAAGTTCAATTTAACAACAATATTTTGTCAGGCAATGACTTTTCCATACCTTGTAGAGAATGATATGATTGTCACGGGGAGGGGTGGAAAAGGGGAGTGGGGGGGGGGGTGGATGCCAGACACTGTTAACTGAGAGAGCTTGAAATATTATTTTAAAGTTCTCATTTCTTAACTATTTTTATTTGAACGATGTCGACACGTGATAATTGTTTAATCATTCTGGACGGGAGATATGATTGGGGAAGTGGGAAAGGGGGGGGGGGTGAAGAAAAGGGGGGGGGGTATGACTGACACTGTTAGCTCAGAGAGCTTATAACTTTATTTTACACTTCTCATTTCTTACATATTTAAATTTTACTACCGCTTCCTCAGCTTTTCTCATTTTTTGTTTTTGGTGCCAGTTTGTTGGTCAGTTAGAGGTATAGCAGTCAGCTTTACTTTCACCTGTTTAAGCACAACAGATGCTTTAGCCTCGATAAACAAAACAATCTTTTTTTCTCTCTCTAACAGTGCACTTTATTCGACCACTAATATCGACATTCACTGATATGTTGCGTGCTCTGGAGTTGGCATATTAGACTATCTATGTAGCTGTGCAATGTCTGATATTAACCATATTAGGCAGATGCGCTTTCTATTTTCTTTCTTTTCCAGTTTACAAATCTGGGGCACAGCAACGCGTGGCTGGGTACAGCTAGTATATATATATATATATATATATATATATATATATATATATATATATACACACACACACATATATATATATATATATATATATATATATATATATATATATATATATATATATATATATATATATTTATATACAGCAATATGGAAAAAAGACATGGACTGATCTCTGGTCAGGTGATTGGGGGGGGGGGGGGGGCGCGAGGCTGTGGAAAATGTAACGACTGGTAAGATAAACGGTAGAAGAGGAAGAGGCAGACAAAGAGAATTGGTGACAGCTGGACTACGAGGGTAGCATGGAGGGATTTTATGGGTGGAACTGATCCAAAGTGAGAGAGGTTTGTGGAGATGCATGAACGCCTACGTCTACGCCTACGTCTACGCCTACGCAGGGAAGGTGTTGGTGATGATGATGACGAGTGAACAGAGCACAGGCACAAATGGATCATGACGGTCTGGTGAGACTAGTGCCACCAGGAGTGACCAGAGGCTCTGCCCGGCTATCCACACTTCAGGGAAAAGTGAAACTGTTATACGATTAGACTGTTACTGGTGCCATTAGAATTAGAGCTATGAACATGGTGCTGAAGATGGGGACAGAGTTTAGTGCAATATACTGGGTGACGTGATGCCGATTCTTTAATAAACGTACACACGGCACGTATTATTACAGCTCGTTTGTGTGTGTGAGTGTGTGTGTGTTCACAGAGAAGACTCATTTCACATTACTTATTTTGACTCGATCATGTGCTTGTGTGTGTGTGAGTGTGTGTGTGTGTGTGTGTGTGTGTTGACAGAGGAGACACATTTCACATTATTTATGTTAACTCCTTCATGTGAGTGTGTGTGTTGGTGTATGTGTGTGTGTGTGTGTGTGTGTTAACAGAAGAGACACATTTCACATTATTTATGTTAATTCCTTCATGTGAGTGTGTGTGTGTGTTGGTGTGTGTGTGTGTGTGTGTTGACAGAGGAGACACATTTCACATTATTTATGTTAACTCCTTCATGTGAGTGTGTGCGTTGGTGTGTGTGTGTGTTGACAGAAGAGACACATATCACATTATTTATGGTAACTCCTTCATGTGAGTGTGTGTGTTGGTCTGTGTGTGTGTGTGTTGACAGAGGAGACACATTTTAAATTATTTATGTTAAGGCGTTCAAGTGCTTGCGTGTGGGTGTGCGCGCGGGCGCGCACGATCATGTATATGTGGATGTATGTGAGATGGGCTAGACATATAAGCACGACACGAGTTAGTACTGTAGATTATGCAATCACACGTCTATGAAACGCTTATTTGAAGAATTGTAGCATATTAACCCCCGCCCCTCCCAGGCATTGTAAAGTCACATGGCCCTTACTAATGATCTGGAATGCTCAAATCTGACTAACAATAAGGTCTGAAACTGTAAAATTGTGTCAATCGAGAGATTACGAGCACAATGCCAATTACTGTTTAAAATTGAAAAATATGATCTGTTTTAACGAATATAATATCACCTTATTTCAGTGTCAGGATAAAAATATTTTCATCGTATTGTTGCGCGCACGCGCTTTCAATATCAAGAAGAAAGGAGCAATGGTAATAACAAAGAGAAAAGATACACTACATTTTGGAATTACAGTAAAAGAGAAATGTGTTCAGACGGGTCAACAATTTGAAATATACCTGTACAGTTATATCACCTGACGGAAGGTGTACGACACAGATTAGGACAAGGATATACCAGGGGAATGTGGCATTTAAAAAAGACAACAATTGTGTAAAAAGGTCTCTCATTGTTGCACCGATTACTGAAATATTATGTTGAACAAGCGCTACTATATAGCTGTGAATTTGGGAATGTCAAGGAACACATTTGGAAGAACTGAGATGTTGTGTCGATGTATTTGAGGAGCGGCTGCCCGACCGGTTAGAATGCTGGACTCACAAGCGGAAGACGCAGGTTCAAATACTCCGCAAAGCTAGGGATTTTTTTTTTTTTTTTCAAAGGAAGAAAAAAAAGAAATTTTACCTGCACAGGAGGCCGCAAATGCTACGGCTCAGACCCCCCCCCCCCCCACCCCCCCCCCCCCCCCCGTCTACACCGCAAAATTGGTAAAATAAAAGCAGTAACTAGCAGACCATGTACTTTATGAGACGCATACCGTGGATTTTGTAGACAGCCATAGTAACTAACAACAAACGACTGCCTGAAAATGCCTAATGAGATCAGAAATGTATACACAACTGTAAGGAAGAGGCAGCCAGTGTTCTCTAGTCATGAGATGACAAGAGCGACATTGGCAACAGACTGCTTTGCATTGCTCCCGATAACGATGTCGAACGTGTATCGTTCAGTGGACAGTGACAAACTTTAGAAAGTAAAATTGCTTAGCGAAATCACAAAATGCGCCCCCCCCCCCCCACACTCTACCACCCCCTTTAAAAAATAAGAATAAATAAATATATGCATATAACTATCTATCTATCTATATATATATATATATATATATATATATATATATATATATATGTTTTATGGTTTGTCTCTAAAAGTCGGCGTCAGTGGATTAGGCGTTGCGAACGCTCTTCGTAATGCCGGGGTGCCGGGTTCGATCCCAGTTGCGGGCCTTGCGCTTTACGCTGGTTTCGACAGTGGTATCGTGAAGCCGATCGTCCAGAAAGCAAAGACAAACTACTGGACGTAAATTTGCCTTAAAAAACCACAACAGCAAAAAAAAAAAAAAAAATGCTGGGGTTGGTTCTGCAAAGGCCTGTAAAAGGATACGCAACTGTTTCTTTTTTTCTCTAAGATAATCAATCATCTCAAGTTACCTCCGTGCCTGTATGTGTGGATTTAAATTGTACAGGGAAGCCACATTTTGATACAATTACGTTTTGATACAATCGGGAGTAGAGGAAATGCAACGTGCAAAGCATGGAGTGGGATTTGTCATCGATCCCGAAACTGCAAAAAAATATACTTGAAGTTAACTACATCTCGGAAAGAATTATAAGTTTGAAATTACAAGTAGGAAATAGTTCGGAGGTGTTTTTTCAGAAATATGCTCCGTGCAATGGAAATTACAGTGAAGAGGATTTAGATTATTTCTTTGAGAACCTGGATGATGAAATTTGTGAGATAGATAATAACGAGAAACTGATCTTGATGGGTGATTTTAACGGTAAGACAGGACGAGACAGAAGAACATTCACAAGATATCTAGGCAATTATGGAGACAACAGCATTAGAAATGAAAATGGCGAAAGACTGTTGGATATATGTGCACAACATGACCTTGTTATTACCAACACCTTTTTTCAACATAGAGCTTCACAAGTTTTTACATGGTATAAATGGAATGATCTAGATACCAAGAGTCAGATTGATTACATCTTGACGAGAAAAAAAGACTTTCATCAAGTTACAGATGCGAGAGTTATACCAAACTTGAGTTTAGATACAGATCATAGGATGGTGATCCTTGACAGAAAAATCAAGATAAGTTATAAAACCAAAAAGAAATGTAATAAAAGTGACATAATAAAATGGAAAGAACTAGAGTGTGAAGAAAACAGGCGAGCGTTTCAGCAAAAATTACAGGAAAATTATGAACAGCTCCCACAAAACACTCTTAGGGTAAATACAGAATGGTTGAATTTCAGAAACACCACTATGAAAATAGCACAAGAAATATGTGGAACTAAAAGGAAAGGTAACATAGGGCGTAAGCTCTCAACATGGTGGTCTGAAGAAATAAGAAGTATTGTGAGCAGTAAAAAGAAAGCTTATGGCATTTGGTTGAGGAGCGGAACAGAAAAGGATTAAATAACATACAGGAAAATTAGAAGAGAAGTAAATAGAACTATCAGAAAAGCAATAAGAGATTCATGGGAAAAGTTTGGAAGCAAGCTGGCTGAAGAAGAAAGATCAGCAGTGAAAAACTCATACAAAAAAATCAAAGGCATGAGAAACAGGAATGAAGAATACAACCCAACAGAAATTATAAATGATGAAGTTGGCCAACCTTTAATAGAACCTACTAAAATCTTAGCAAGGTGGAGTAATTGCTTTGAAGCATTACTTAGCTGCAATAAAACAGATAAAAGCAGGGAAGAACATAAAAACAACTCGAAACTAACAGCAGAGGAACTAGAACCAGGTATATTATTGGATGAAGTAAAATATGTCATTCAAACCGCGCCTAGACTAAAGGCGACAGGTATTGATGATCTACCAGCTGAGGCCATCAAGGCAGCAGAAGAAACGGGAGCAATATGGTTAAAGAGAATATTTCAGGTGGCATGGGAAAATCAAGAAACACCATCAGATTGGCAAACTGCTGTCATTGTCCCGCTGTGGAAAAATAAAGGAAGTAAGAGGGAATGTACTAATTACAGAGGTATATCACTTCTCAGTCACACTGGAAAAATGTATGCTAAAATCATCGAAAAAACCTGAGACCATTGATAGAGTGTCAACTTTCAGAAGCACAGATGGGCTTTCGACGAAACAGGAGTTGCACAGATGCCATTTATACATTGAGACAACTATCAGAGAGGGCAACAGAACATGATAAGACATGTTTGTTGACATTCATAGACCAAGAAAAAGCCTTTGATAGAGTCGACAGGAATATGTTGTGGGAATGTATGGGGAAAAAAGGAATCAGCAATCATCTCATTAATATTTGCAAAAGCCTGTACACACGTAGTGAATGCTGCATAAGATCAAAGGCAGGGTTGTCTAGAACTTTTATAGTGAACTCTGGTGTGCGTCAGGGTTGTGTACTATCGCCGCTTCTTTTCATAACATACATGGACGCCATATGTAGCGAAACAGACTTTAATCAGGGAGAAGTTATTACAGAATTACTATTCGCCGACGACCAGGTACTCATAGCAGAAAATATGGAATGCCTACAGAACCACCTAAATCAAATTAGTAACAAAGGGGAGGAATTTAATATGAAAATAAACACTACGAAGACAGAGACAATGATGATAGGAAGACATAAAGACAATTTAGAAATTAAATTAAAAAACAACACCTTGAGACAAACAGAGGAATTTAAGTATTTGGGAGCAATTTTTACTTCAGATGGAAAACTGGACAGAGAAATTAGCTCCAGATGTGCCAAAGCTAATCAAGTAATGGGTCAACTATCTCCCCTGTTGACACACAAGCAGATACCTCAAAGTACTAAAGTGAATCTTATCAGAACTATTTTTTGGCCAACACTATGATATCAGTGCCAAACGTGGACACTTACATCCTCCAATGAACGTAAAATTGTGACAACAGAGATGAAATGTCTTAGAAGAGCTGCAGGAGTTTCAATGAAAGACAGAATACAAAATCATGAAATCAGACGAATGCTAGGAATAAAGCCAGTCTTACAGGTCATCAAAGA